TATATATATATGTATATCTTGATATATGTGCACACAGTTATGTGCTGTGAATGTGGCGCTGCTGCAGTTGATAATTATATTGGTTGACGAATTAAAAAGAGTCGCATACGGCCGATCTGCAAGTTTGTACTTGTTTTCAGCGGACATATTCATTACGTTATTGAATTTACGGGCTTTTAAGCGGTTAAGTCATTCGTTAAATATAAATAAGTTAAGCAAAACTCAAAGGAAGGACCTTGAATAAATTTTGACCGAACCCAGTGGGTGCCATTCATATTCACTCATTTATGCCGCAGCGGCTGCTATAGATTGATTGTATTTTGCATCTTGTGTTGCAGTGTTGTACGAGCAACATAAGAGCACGCATAGGTCGAATTTTAAATTAAATGACAAATACTTCTTCTATTGCTGGACGTGTGCCTCATTGATGTGTTCGGCATGTTTCTGTGTGAGTGCGCATATGATGGTTAGGCACTGTAGATTCGCATGATAGCTGAAATCTACGCAAAAAAAATCACAGAATACTTGCAGGCAACTTTACGTACAAAGGTGTCCACAAAGAAACAGATGAAAGCTGAATGCAGATATAGTTTTATGTGGGCATATCAGCTACAATTGCAGATTGTTCTGTACGATAAAGTTAGGTAACATTTTCTCCTAAATATGTGCTGATTTTATAGTTTTAAGTTAACTGTTTCAAAACTTGAAAAAACTCGAAGTAATGTAAATAATTTGTATTCAAATGATATTTAAGCTGCAATATATTTATCTTTGTGTGGAGTCTGCTGACTCGTTGTATGCTCATTTATTTTTAGTTTTTTTTCTATTCTTCATGATATTTGATAATTCTGTATAGCATATGTTAAATTTTTTATGCATATAAGGTAAAATAAATAAAATTTATATACATATGGGGTAAATCAATATTTTCTATACGGATTATCAAATATTACAAAAAATATGTCGACAAATATGACTACCTCTTTTTAGCAGTGCATGCTCTTACTTCAAGCGTCTCACGTTGCATTCGAACATGCACGTTTCATACTTAATTAAATAAATTACTTGTGTGCACTTGATTTTCTTTTTATTTATATATATTTTTTTGTACCCAAACTTCAGTCTGATTGCTGCTTTTCACTGCTGCATAGGCCATGAGCAGATTTTCCGGCTGCACACAGAATTAATAATAAGATTGTTAAATGAAATGTTGCTATATGAAATTTATTTATCTGACGGTCAGTTTGGTGCGTAGTGAATTCTGGAATACTGCGCCATTTGTTTATTGAATTTCATTCTTTAGCTTTACAACAAATATAACCCTCATTCCAAATACCACTTCATACAATTCTATTCAAATGTAATATAAACATTAATTTTGTAAAAGTTAAATTATACTTGTTTTTATTTTATTCTATTTGTAAAAAATTTAATAATGTTTTTTATTTAATGTAAAACAAAAAAAAAAAAAAATAAATAAATAAAAAAAAAATAAATAAAAAAATATAATAAGGAAATGGTCAATTTCATTGTCTCCATTGCAATCAAGGCAAAACAAATGGGCAACAGGTGAAAATGCATGCATTGCGTCAAAGGTTTAACAGTGCTCTGTTAACAGGCCTTAAATACACTTGCAAGTGGCCAACGTTGTTCAGTTCCTTGACAGGAGGCAAATCGTAAGGATTAACAGTGCGCGATACGGATCAGACATTAAAATACGTACATCATAAAAAAATTTTAGTTAAAAAAAAAAAAGTAATTAAAGCCAACAATGCATAAGGCGATCATTTTTGTTCTAGTCTTTATCTGGCTTAGTTCACTGGTTGCCATAGCAATTGCACCAACTAAAAGTTTTCGTCCGCCACATTATTTAGATAAATGCGTCAACGGTCAAAAGCAGATTCACGAATGTTTCAAAGATTTGCCGTCACATCTTATGGAATTTTTGCAGAACACCAAATCTGTGAGAAGCCAACAAGATATCGTTGACCAATGCAAGTAAGTCTCGTTTGGAGTACAGATGACTGTGCTAAGAAGTGTTAGTGTTATGTTAAATAAACTATGTCAATTGGAATCATAATTGAACTAAAAAAATGAACTGCTTACATTAATATTATTTAGAATTTGCAAAATGGAGAAATGCATTTTCATATTCAATAATGAATATCTAAAATGTATTCATAGTGTGTACAATCAATGTATGAAATGCATCGAGGACTACTCAGCACGTTGTCTACAAAGCCACGATCTCAGCTCATTTAAAAAAGATGTCGATGGTGTTATCAAGTTTTTCGAAAAATTTTGTACAGACAAGGACTTTCAGCGAGGTAAGAAGCACAGCTAGAACATCTAGTAAATATCTGTTTGTTTTTTTCTGTTGCCCAAATTTTGATCACACCTTTAAGACTATATGCGATACAAGAGTTGCTTTGCGAATGAAAAGGAAGATTGGATAACCTGCACTGCAGACGTTGAGAAAGCAATTGAAGACTTGAACGACGACAAACGCAACGCTACCAATAAACAACTGCAGTTCTGTTGGTAAGCTGTGGTCAGCCATCTTGCCTATCGAGTAACTAATTAGCTCAAAATTTGTCTGTAGCG